CTAGTTGTATTGTGAACGACAGTACAATTACATAAATGTACTGTCAACGACAGTACAATTACGTTAATGTATTGTCAACGACAGTATAATTATGTTATTTACTATCAGTGACTGTATAATTACTGTTAATGACAGCACCATTACGGTCAACATTTAGCGGCGGACGTAAAAAAAAAAATCAAAAAAGTCAACGTCGGAAACTGGCGGCGGAAAAAACAGACCATAAAAAAGGAAAAAAAATCTAGAGGTTAACGCCGGAAACCGTCGGCAAGTAAATAGTTTCTGAAAAAAAAAGTCAAAATTGGATTTTTGTGGTTAAAATTGATTAAATTGGGGTTATAATTAAGAATTGAGTGTAAATGGTGGGAGGTAATTTTGTCATATACATTAATTTTTCCTTTATTGATAATATATATTAAAGGGATGAGCTTATTGGCGAAAGAGATATAGGCCATGAACCTAGAATAATAAAGATGGTTGGTGAAGGACTTATGCACAAAAACCCCTATTATTAATGAATTAATTTCACATTGTTGGTTTTCAAAATTTATCGCTCCTACATGTCAAAATAGTGTATTTTTATTAGTTAATCAGTTTTCTTTTCAAAAAAGACGTATAAGTAAATGCAATATTTACAATTTTCCCATATTATTATATTTAAATTATTATAGATAAATCCGGAAATTATATTGATTTAAATTAATTACTTTATTTGTTTCATTTATTATATTCTTTAAATGTCCTATTAATTTACAACTCAACACATTCACTTTCTTCATTTTCCTCACACAATTTTTTTATGCTTCGGATATATGGAGAGAATTTTTGAAAAATAATTGCATTGAGATCACCTATATGCAATAGTATATTTCATTATAGTCCCATTTATAGTATGTTTTTAATTTATTGCTTTATTTTGTAATTGATTTCTTCATTCAATTTTATTTGTAGCATTTGAGTAATTCTTTTGTTGAAGCTTCTGGGTTGACAGGATTGTCTACTATCAATATTCGCGAAAAAAACATGGAAAAATGTATGTACAATTGACTAAGGGTTGGAGAGAGCTTTGTAGCTCAAACAACATGGTCTGTGGCAATAAGTACTCTTTTTATTTTAACCAATGGAATGATGTAATTGAGATCTGGCTTGGCCCTCCTTACTACTTTATTGATAATAAGAGTTGCATCGATTTTCAAATAAATTCGATTTTCTTTATTGCATTTATCTATCACTTACACATTATACAAAAATATGTATTCATATAAATTGAATGCATATACAAGCCACGTGGAAACAACATTTTATTCCAATAAAATAATTGTGCACATCCAACCGGAAAACATTACCCATAAGATAAACTGAATAAAAATGGGAAGGGAGAAACTATAATAATATATTACAAAAGAGCCACAAAATTGGGACAAAAAAAGAAATTTAAAAAATATGTAAATAACTAATCACTACGTAGATATTATTAGGGGTGTGCGCGGGCCACAAACTCGCGGATTGTATCAAAACTCGCCCTTGTCCTGTTAAATAACGATTCTTGATTTTGAAGATTAAACTTGTGGATTTTCGACGGGTTTACGATAGGCGGGTCCATGGCGGGTTTGTAGTAGAGCCCAGCCTTTACGGGTTGAAACCCATTTTCGTCTAAACTATATTTTTGTTGATAATTTATAAGTTTTACGCGAGACTAATTAGAAATTAAAATGAATCAGCTAAAATATTAAATTGAAACCAAACATAAATAATGTAAATTCAAGGATAAATAACAATTAGGGGTCTTAAGATATAAGTCGCTGGTGACTAACCTTATTAGAACTAACTGACAAGCCTAACTAAATTTTCTTCACATCCTTTATCAAAATTCATTCAAAAAATGCCCCTCCATTCACAAATTCGAAATTACATCAGCTTGTAAATATTCTATGATGTACTATGGTGTACTATGGTATTATTTATCATTTTCAATTTGCATCTAGCATTTTTGTTATTTTATTGTTTACGTGGAATACATTTCTTTTTTGTTTTTTTATCATTACTATAAGAATCTATTTTTTTCTTTTTTTTTTCTACATAATATTGAAAATTATAATTTTGTTGTAAATAGTATGGAATGTGTGGTTTCCTAACATAACCACTTGATGGTTTTCAACTTCCCACTAGTTTATTAACTTCCCATAACTACTATATGGTGTTAGTGGCGATGTAACTTCTACGTAACTTCCACCTGTAACTCCTTTGTAACTTCCCGGTGGTTACCACCTATATAAATATGAGAAACACTCCCACCCCACGGATCCCACAATTATCTCTCTACATATCTTGTTTACTTGTGTTCTCTCATTATCTCTCTATTATTGTTATTATGTTCTTATGTATTTCCACAATCACAAACCAAAGATCTAGATTAAATAGATGATTTTACAACACGTTATCAGCACGAAATGCTCGTCGTGTTCGTGGAAACACAATCGTTCGTGGGACTAGGATATGTGAAGAACTTGTGATTCGAGTTCGTTCGTGAAATGGTAATCTTGTTCGACGAATACAATATATTCTTCAACATTTGGGTTTAAGCGTTTCAAGTAAGCCGTAATCCCTTGCAATTTCGATTTCGTAAGAGATGCACTAGATCTATTTAATGGCATGAAATGCATGAAGTACATATTTATTTCAAGTCCTTATTACTTCATTTATACCGTGGATAATTTCAAAATATGATGTGATTCGTAATTATTGGAAGGATGCTTAATATGTTATAGTATGGTAAAAATATCACAATGATTGTTTTTTGTATGTGGTGTAGCAAATTATTTTATCATTAGCGACGATAAATGTGTGATTGTATATTGTCAAAGGATTATAATATCTTGCTGGTTTATTCCATGTTTCGAGGATTTGACATGAAATTGTATGATCAATGTTTTATCATAATATATAGAATACAGTGCACTAAGAAGCTTATGAATAAATATGCACTGTAGAGGGAGGGGTGAATATATTTGATGATGAATGTGAAATTGTTTATGTTTCTTACTGAACGTGATTGTAGCCATATTAATAGAATTTTCTTTCTTGGTTGAATTCGTATTGCATGAATTGTTAGAAAATTTTGCTACAATAACTTGGTCATTTCATTTTAAGATGATCTAATGCACTGCTGATACTTGATAGCATTATGGATCTATTTATTTAATTCATGATTACCTACGGCAATAATTTCAGAATTAGTTCGTGGAATTTATATGAGATTGTACATGCTATATATGGTTTATATTATTTAGCATGTTATATTTTATATATTTGACAATTTACAAAGTCTTAATTATTGCATGAAGATTGTGGTCCATCTCTAATGAACAATTCTATTCAATTGATCCATTATTTATCTGCAATATGTAATTTTGTGATACAAAAAATGGTAAACAATATTTCGTTTGTCCTTATGATTTATCGTATGAAATCCATGAATGTGTATGAACATGTGGTGTATGAATTATTAGACCGGAAGTTCTAATTTGTGAACAATATTCATGAAATTGTTTATGGAGGTTACATTCCCATAAAACAATAATACTCCTTATTCTATTTGATTTGAGATGAAACACATGAGCAAACTCGAGTTTATCCAACTTTATGTATTTGGTGAAAGTTTTGTTGGTTGGAGAATGGATGTTAAGATCCATACGCTTAGTGAGCAATTGAGAATGGTTGTTTTGGAGGATAATTTATGAGGTAAAGCCCAGAAGACTGAGACTATGTTTCTGATTATGAGATAATTAGATGAAGTCCTTCGTCTAGATTATTCATCAAACGAGGGTCCCCATAAAGAATGGGATACCCTGGCTAGTCGTTTTAATTACCAAAAGACAATACACTTGCCGGAAGCAAGGAACAAGTGAATTCATAAACAATTTGTATATGAATTTTAAAATCCCAATAGAGCTCAAAATCAGAACATACACATATGTTTTATATATGATGGATCTAAGCATTGGTCGCGTACCTGAAGTGCGAAGAACATTGGGGCTGGAGATACAAATAATAATACACCAGCATAGACTGAGTTGGTAGAGGTAAATGTTTTCAATGTATAGGGCATCACTCAGCTTCCATACTTGGGCACATCTGACCAAATAACCCATATTGGGATATGATTGAACTGTTTATTTCATGCATTATGTTTATTTTATTACTCGGGTTTATTAGATTATTGAATTTTTTTTTAAAAAGAACGACACCCGATGAGGGTGGGGGGTTAGGCTTGACCCCCTACCTGTTTATAAAACAAAATTTAAGAAGTACATAATGAGTTTCGCTCAAATTGCTAATGCCCAACATATGGCTAATAATAGCAATTGACCAACAAAAGACAATATTTAACTAACAAAACGTTAAGAATACGGGCAAAACAGGTGGCCCAAATAATAAAAAGGACAGGGGTGGGAATGATCATAGAAGGTCGGGGAAGACCAAGGTAGACCGTTCGCCTCACCACAACAGCCGAGGCCACTTACACTTTCGCCAAAAATGAGCGAAACAGGTATAACGGCTGCGAAATGTGTGGCACCATTCGGCAAACAGTCTAGTCTTGATAGACCCAAACAATCCATAATCACCCCAACCCTTCCTAACATGAAAAGTTCACGAAAATTCCAAATTTGCCAATAATATAAAAACGTGGAATGCATGGCACCTATGTGCGAGACTGTCGTCGAAAGGATGGATATCCAAGCTGGTCCATCCGAATCATATGCTGAATAGGTCGGGGAAGCTCCGCTGTTGTGAAGGTACGAGCCAACTCGGTCTGACACCCCAAGTTAGCTAATGCATCAGCGACCGTATTGCCCTCCCGGTAGATATGTGTAATCCTGTACTCCAAAGTAGAAAGAGAGTTCCGGATCGCTGTGAGAGAACTCTAAAGACTCCAATGACCTTTGTCCGTGTGCGAAAGAAGTCGAACAATGACTTCTGCGTCAAGCTCGATCCAAACTCTAGTGAATTGCCCTCTGAATAACAAATCGCAGCCCCGAGGCAAGGGCAACAAGCTCGGCTGCAGTACTGCTCGGGGCAGAGATCCTCTCGTGAAATGCATGTATGGCCTCAGCGTCCGAACCTCTGATAGTCCCGCCAATAGCTGCAATCTGGGTGGTTGCTCTACGGGCTCCGTCTGTGTTTAGCTTCACCCAACCCGGATCCGGTGGAAGCCAAACAACTCGGTGAGGTGTGAGAGTTGGTGTTCTGACTCGCTAATATAGGCCAAGAGACTCAGCCACGTGGGGAATGCCAGTCCAGCTGTCCGCCGAAAGTAAGTTGGTTTGGTGAAGAATACTGATGTGCTGGATGACCTTGTAAATGATGGAAGAAGCGCGGACCGTGATATCCTTGTGCTTGCTGTCATTTCTTGCAATCCATAAGTACCACAAGATCAAGCAAGGCACAATGGTCGTGATGTGTGTGTGGTGTGTGAGTGTGTGCGAAGTGAAGTGCTGCCAATAAAGTAAAATCTGGGGTATGTGTGTAGTGTGTGCAGGTGCATAGCCAAAAAGATAGAAAAAATGATGCCATACCCTCTTATTCGTCAGGATCTCCACGAAGATATGACCAATCGACTCAACAGAAGGAGACTCGTCATACTGAGATACAAGACTCGACACAGGAATAGATGGATCTGGACAACAATAGCACCTCGAGGCGAGAGAGGTGCCTCGAGACTGAAGTTTGAGATCCACAAGAAGACGCTGAAGAAGGAGACGCCAAAGAAAGATAGAAATTATAGGAGTAAGACAAGATCCCCAAAATATACGAAGAAGAGGGGTAGGGGTATGCTGCTGTCGTATCAAGCCCCAAGCCGAGGTCAAGGAAAACTTGCCATCCGAAGAAGCTCTCCAAATGGGCAAATCAACCGAGACACCAGAGATCGGGACCAAGCAAATCCTATCGATCCACTCAAAAGGAATATCCTCAGCTAGCTTGTTTCGATCCCACTGACCGTTAACCAAATAATACTCCACACGAACTGACGTTAGCCGACTACCATCAATAATGCCCGAAAGGGGACCATCGCCAAACCAGTGGTCGTGCCAGAAATAAACATGACCTGACCAATCTGCCAAAATATTTGAGCTTGAACACGCTCTCGGACATGGCACATGCGCTTCCACACCGTGCTATAGAGTGAAGACACAACGGATGAACCTGGGAACCGATTCCGGCAATACTTTTTTCAGAGAAAACAGGCCCAAAGAGAATCCTGAGCACGGAATCGGAACCAGAGCTTGTAAGTGAAGGTGTCAATCACATCCGTCAAACGCCTCAACCCCAAGCCACCCTCACCAACTGGCCGAAAAATCATCTCCCAAGCAACCCAATGAGGCCGGCGCTGATTACCATAAGATCCCCAGAGAAATCGGGCCATGCACTGCTCAATCTGCTGAATGATGTACTGCGGAGGTTGAATAACCTGAACAAGATGCAAAGCCATAGTCGAAAGCGTACTCCGGATCAAGGCAAGACGGCCCTTGAAAGCCAAAGCGGTCCGAGCCCAACCCGAAATCTTGGCCTGCATGCGATCAAGCAAAGTCTGAAACAAACTGCTCCGATCCCTCCCTTTGTATAGCGGAGCTCCAAGATAAATGATAGGAAGATCCTTTCTCGGATAACTGAGAATCCGAGAAATAGTGCAAAGATGACCATCAGAACATGCCCTATCAACTGTGAAAGTGCTCTTGTGCACACTAATCAACTAACCCGAAGTCCGACAGTAATGATCGAGAAAATCCCGTAGCTTCTTCAGGCCAAAATTATGGCACGAGGTAAATATGATCACATCATCCGCATAGGCCAAATGGGATATAGGGATGCCTCCCCTTGTATAATAAAATAAGGTTGGGCAACGGCTGTATAGTGCATCTAGACCTCTCGAAAAATACTCTACCACAAGTACAAAAAGAGTCGGCGAGAGCGGATCTCCCTGCCTTAGACCACGAGACGAAGTGAAATACCCCGTCAGCTCCCCGTTGATTAGTAAAGAGAACTGGCACGAGGAAACACATCGCCGAATAATATCAACCAAGTTCGCCGAGAAACCCACCAGCTCGAGTACACGAAATAAGAACCACCACTGAACCCTATCATAAGCCTTTGCCATATCTAGCTTCAAAATAAGATTCCGATTTCGACAACGAACTGATATCGAGTGGACCATCTCTTGTGCTAATAAAATATTATCACTAATGAGACGACCCTGAACAAACCCACTCTGAGAAGGAGAAATAATGTGGGGCAAATGAGGTGCCAGTCTGTTCGTAAGTAACTTAGTGATAATTTTATTGGTCACGTTGCACAAGCTAATCAGACGAAACTCCGTCCAAGCCGTCGAAAACTCTACCTTTGGAATAAGAACCAAGGTGGTAGCGGTGAAGCTCGCAAGCATAGATCCACCCTCGAAGAAATGCCAAACCGCTTCACAAACATCACACTGAATCAAGTCCCAACAATGCTGATAAAATAGCGAAGAATACCCATCAGGACCCGAAGCACTATCTCGACAAATCCCAAACACCGCATATTTGATCTCCTCAACCGACGGACGAGTAGAGACTGAAGAAAAGTCCCTTTGAGAAGCGGAAAATAGGGACTCATCAACCGGAAGCAAACTAGGCATATCATCGGTAAGAAGCTTGCTAAAGAAATCAACGCCCGAATCCTTGATCTCCTGAGCAGATGTGAGAACCGAATCACCATGAGAGATATAGTGGATTCGATTGACACATCGCTTTTTCTTGACTAATGAGTGGAAAAACTTAGAGTTTCTCTCTCCATCAGTCGCCCATCTACAAGCTGCCTTCTGCTTCCAAAAGTCCTCCTCAATATTGAGCATGAGAGTAAGTTCAGCAGTGGCCTTTTTCAAATTTGCACGGTTCTCGGGGGATCGATCCAAGTCATATATGTGCTCGGCCTCTAGAATAGTTGCCTTGGCCCTCTCTTTATTCTTGAACACGTCCCCGAAAACATTCCAATTCCACCACTGAAGCTTCTGTTTCAATCGTCTCAACTTACTTCATATGCTCATGTTATGAACCATATTCATACTTTGATTATGTTTAGTTTATGCTCTGGATCATATATTTATGTTACTGTATGTTCTAAGTTAATTGTTATGTTATTCCGTGGTGTTTGCTTGATGAATTTACTTAGTTCCTGAAGTACTGAATATATATGATAAGATTTATATAACTCTTTAGACATGACATGTGGGGATAAATGTCTGGCGGATAGTGCGACAACACATACTATCCTGAGAGATAAGTCGTACTTTATTAGTTTCATGTCTATTTGTAGCAAGACCTCTTTGATAACTAAATGAGGTACATGTAGTTTTGATAGATGGTTATGGTAATGTCCATATTATATTATCTAATGGCACAATATTGCCCATTGAAGTAGCTCAATTTTTCTCCACTTTCCAGTAGAACGATAATAAACTTTAAACATACTTGAGCTAATGGTTATTTAGTTGAAAACATTGAAGATAAGAAATCGAGTATATGTGCATCCTCTCTAACGTGTAGGACCAGAAGCGTACATTGGGAAAATTAGAGGAATTTTCGACACGATTATGTAGAACCACAATTTGTATGCCAGAAGCATAAGTTGTCGATCGCTCGAAATTAAGTAATTCGATTACATGTCTGCATACGCACATACATGTAATGATTCAATCCCTTTTATTGGAAGTAATCCAAGAAGATATAAGTGAAATGTGTATCACCATATATAACTTAAATTTAGAACCTTAGACTGGCGATCTCTTACCCGCTCCAATTGCGGACTGTCACATTGATGAGACTGTCTTCCCGCCGTTAGGGGAGGAAATAACGTCCACACTAACGTTCCTAAAGAACGGCTGTGAAGTCGTGTGAGACGACGACCCCACCGTGTCTCATCAAGATCCCCTACTTCAGAGAAT